AAAGCCTCATTCACTACATCCTCCTGGTCTGATGGTCTATAACAGACACCCACTATGTCATCTGCCTTGTTATTCCCTCTGATCCTAACTCAAAGGCTTTCAAGCAGGCCTGTCTCCAGTTTCATACTGGAGTTCTTAACAATCATATGGCTCTTTTACATAAAGAGCAACTCCTCCTCCTCTTCTCCCGTCTGTCCTTTCTGAACAGTTTATACCCACCCATGACAGTGTTCCAGCCATGTGAGCTCCCACCAAGTCTCTGTTATTCCAATTATGTCATCGTTACATGATTGTGAGAGGCCTTCCAATTCTTCCTGCTTACTTCCCAGGCTCCATGCATTCATGTACAGCTGAAGTAATTTCTAAATGCCCTTGAACAAACACAAGCCTCTGAAAAACTTCAGTTTGCACATGATCAATAGAGACTTTATGAACTTTGGCAGCTTAAATTGTCCAGAATTTATTTTGACCACACTCCAAGTCTATGCAATGTGGAGGCTGAACTGCAGGATTTGTCCCCTGCAATTGTTGCTGTCAGCTTCCCAGTGTTGCCAGGATGTTGGACACAGTAAAAGCAGGGAGACTGCATCTCCTGATTTCAATGTCTTTTTGCTAGCTTTCAGGCTGTATGGAACAGAAAGAGGCTTCTTGACTAGAAGACAGAGGAAACAGACCCTGGGGCTGAGGTGAAGTTGTAGTAGAAGATAGGAGAACAGAATAGAGGAGAAGGAATGTGGAAACCAGGGAATACAGGGAGGGGAGGAGGAACTGGAAGTAATGGATAGCATCAAGAGTGTACAGAAAGCAGGGAGTGGAGGAAGTGAGACAGCCTCTAAGAGGTGGATAAAACCAGAGTGTAAGAAAAGGAACAGAAGAGTGTACGGAAAGCAGGGAGTGGAGGAATGTGAGACAGCCTCTAAGAGGTGGATAAAACCAGAGTGTAAGAAAAGGAACCATAACCACTAGAGCAGGGGTTGGCAACCCCCAGCATGTGTGCCGAGCATGGCACATGAGGCCGTTTTGCTTGGCACGCCATTGCCAGCCCTGGCTCTGGTTAGCTGCTGCCAGCAATGGAGCCTGGGCTGCTCCCAGCAGGGCTTGCAGCATCCCAGCTGCCTGCTGGGAGCAGCCCGGTCTCCTGGCTGGCAGCAGCTCCCCAGAGCTGGGTTGCCTGCAGCCGGGAGGCTCCAAACAGTTGTGCCGGGCTCCGGGATGAGCTCTGTATCGGCGCGTGCATCCATGCCTTGGAGCAGATGGTGAGGGAGCAGCCTGAGGCAGTGCAGCGCCGGTCTCTCCCCCTCTCCTGGCACAGAGCTGGTGGGCAGGGGCACAAGCAGGGCATCCTGCCATGTACCCCATGCCCTCATTTTGTTTTTTTGGCATGCCAGCAGTCTGACACCTTCCGAAGTAGGCATTGTGGTGTTTTTCGGCACTTAGGCCAAAAAACCTTGCCTACCCCTGCACTAGAGCACACGCTCCTTCAGAATCTGAACTGAACCCAAGGTGCTTAATCCTCTGCAGCCAGCAAGCAGCTCTGACACTGACTGATCAGGCATGCATCTCCTCTCCTCTCATGACTAGCCTACGAAGATAAATAGCCGTCTACAACCACCTACCCCATCAGTTCAAGCATATGAGTATGGTGTGGAGGCCAGGGACCAAATCTTGCTAATGACTTACCATATCTTTCTTAGAACTAAGCTATTTGCTTTTTTCTTTTAAAATAAAATAGAGGAATGTGATTTCCAGTGGCCTGCTGTTAAGAGAACATTGAGGTTTCAAAGCTAAGCACTCAAAAGGTAGGAAATTCAAAAATAAAGGCTGCATGTGCAGCCCCTTTTGTGCAAGCATTATGATACAGTTTTTAATTACATGATGACCTACTATTTTTCCACAGGATCCACCTTCATTCAGTACAAAGGACAGAATACCTTGGAGATTAATAGGGGTTTGTAACAGAAGACTGCTGAAAGCATTAGAAACCATACCTCACTTGTTGCAGAGGTTGGAAGGCAGTTACTAGAGGAAGAAATAGGATGGTTTTGCAAACAAGGGAGTTGAATGGCACCCTAAAGGACTGGATTCTATTCCTGTGTGATGCTGAGCAAAATTACCTACATCACAATGTTCAGAGCTACTGCTAATGGCCTATTTCCTGCTTCATGGAACTAAATACTTACTTCTTCATCTTTTGAACACAGTATTATCAAAAGACCATGGCTAATGCCAGGTCCCTAGGTGTCCTACCTGGGTAACCAAATTTAATGGACATTAAATTTTGGTCTTATTCCCTTTCATTCCTCCGATTGTAAAATGGAATTTACTATCACTAGAGCATTCAAAAAATCTCCCATTCCTTCACCAAACTATGCTAGCTCATCAAAGTCAAAATGTTTTGTGGAGACTCTTTGGTGCTAGAGTTCCCTGGCTCCTGAATTGGTTTCCTACCACTTGCCCATCCAGCCCCCACAGGAACATGTACAGTGGGCTGTGATGATCATCAGAAACTAATAACATCCAGCTCCCAGGTTCATGCCTCTTGGACAGCTTAAGTTCACAGCTCCAAAACAGTAAGCCTGGGAGGTTGTGTAAAGCTGGACCTTTGCCCAGAGAATTTGGATTATTTTAGTTTTTATTCTAAATTGGAACAGAACCAAAAATATGGAAATATACAAATGCTCTTGAAAATGTAGTCAAGTTCCTTGGTCTCACTTTAAATATCATCTACTCTTAGAAGCAGATGTAAAAAATAAGATGATTACACATTTATTCCACACTGGAAACCATATTCGTCTCCCATGGGTTTTCTTTGTAACATATGGCTATTCAATTGGTAATCTTAGCTCATGAGGAGAGGTATTATCTTTACTGTAATCATTATGCTCACATAGCCAGTGTAAAACCTTATTAACCTTGTCAGCATTTACCAACTGCTGGTAATTCATTCCCTTTAGTAGGGATGTAATTGGCGGGTACAAAAAGGTTTTGCTTCATTTCAGATTCTTAGATATAGGCACATCTAGTTTGACCTCCTGTATAAATTCTGGTCAGATTTCAGTGTACTTGATGGAGAACTAGCTAGGCAAACATGTAATTTCACTAAAGTATCTCCTTGGACAAATCTCCACTGTTACTTCATTCTTCAGGATACAGAGGAAATACTATATCCTCTTCCATGATCATCCCCGCCCCCCCATACACATTTTAATTGTTTGTAGTTGAAGCTTTCAGTCACTGGATCCTGCTATGCCTTTCTTAAAGAGCCCTCTAATGTCAGAAATCTTTTTCCTCTGTGGGCATTTTTAAGTCTGATCAAATCTCTTTAAGGTCTAGTTGATCTGCAATCAGATTTCACACTTGTTTAAACCCGTCTGGAAAACATAACACCCATGGAGGTCTGATCCGGAATCTCCAGTTTTCAAACACGCTCTAAAGAGTTATCATAAAAACTGGACTGTATCCCAGGAACACGCTCATTTATGCCATATACAGAGGTGGTATCA